ACCAAGTACAGCAGAACCTCATGATGGGAGGTGAAAAAAGAGTGTCAAAGAGATGACTGAGTGCAGCAGCTGTGATAATTTTTTGTAAGTATTCCTAATGTGGAAAAATTTGTTTTAATGTTTAATAATGTGTTTTAATATTTTCTAATGATTAGCAATGTTTCTCTATGTTTCAATCCTGGAACCTTCAACGAGCACTTATAAATGCCTCTAAGCCAAAACGAGCGCAACATACCAAACGAGGCAAAGTTTTGCAACTCGAGCGTTTCATGTTAAACGAGCACTTTATACTTGTAGCCATTTGGCTCTTCCCTGGCTTCCGTCTTGGCCTGCCCGCTTGACCTGATCGTGACCCTTTTTTTAGATCGAGCTTCAAACATTGAGCACATTTTGAAGATTGTTGAAGTTTTGTTTGAGGATCTATTCGAGAACCATGTTTGACAACCCCACACCACGACACCCCATTTCCCAATCACGCCGGTGTTGTGCAGTGTGTGCTCCAGGTACTCCGCTGGATGGCACCTGAGAGATTGCTTTGTTAAGGCCCGGAATCGTTGGGGAAGGTGAGTTGGGAGCGTGCACCATGACCCGAGGGCTATGGCTATAGAGCCTCTACTCATAGCATTTGGCTTCAGGGTGCACCGGTACCACGCGATGGCAAACGCTTCGCAAGTGCAAGCGATCGTGGCAGAGTGGCAGAACAATGAGGTGGTATGTGTGTTGGCTGCCAAGGGGTTCATGGCAAGGGTAAATGCTCGATCAGCTATCACTCGTCGAGATGTTGCACAGAACATCGAAGTTGTCAAGCCGATTGTCCGACATTTGGGACTACTGGTTGCAAATATGGAGATATATATGCATGGGTGAACATCGTAACTTAGTAGTGAACATTTCTGTAATTGGTCTACAACCATGCAATTTCATCCGAGGACTTCGCCCTTCGCTGTCTCTTGTCGTTGAAGCTGCCTACCTCTTCCTTTGTCACATGAGACCCCGAGGAAAAGATTTGCCAACTCGTGGGGGCCTTTTTTGAAGACATGTGTGAACTCATGTGTGAATGCAGCACCCAACACATTAAACCGGTTTCTGGTCCTATGTAGCTATTGTAGCTAGCCTAGGTGACTTCGTGCAGATTGAGGGATGGATTCTTCGCTCTTTGGTTTACTGTGCAAGCAGGGCGATTAAACGTGGACATCGCCCAAAAGAACCAGAGATCAGACAGTTGATGACTTTGGCGGACATCCCAATACCTTTGGTGTCACCACGGGGCAAAACTGGCATTTTAGCTATGCATTAAACACGGAAATGCACGGACCCTGCAGTTTTGGAAACCTACTCAAGCGTCGGCCCAAGGTAACATTCACCATCCGGATCCAGAACCTCAAGATGTTGAGAACGATGGCTGTGAAGGTGAAGAGGCTGAAGAGAGTGAACATGATGACGCGGCTGAAGACCCTGTGGTCAACCCAGAGGCCTTTACTTGGGGGCGTCAGTAGTCAATACCAACCAGCCTTTCAATCAAACCATGCACCGCCATTTCCGTTGCAGCCCTTGCAGGACTCCATGGTTGCTGAACCCGAACAGGAACTGGAACCCATGGAAGGCACATTCTTTTCTTTCAGAGCCTTAATGATTTGATGTATTTTTCTAGTGCACCAGCAAACCTTGAATCTTACCCTTTTCAACTCCATTCAACTCCCATCCAGGATCCCGTGCAGAATGTCCTCCTGGCTGCGAGTACATGTTGCCTGGTCCTGCAGGTGCCGTGGAGGAATATGATCCATGGGACATGCTCTGTCAAAACATGCACTAAAACAGGTACCAGTTGATCCATCGATATTTTTTCTTAGGTTCTGATCCAGAAGCCCTGTTGAGCCCGGAAGAGATCAAGGATCTGCCAGTGGGGATTGATGAGCACCACATTGTGAAGGATAAAGTGTATGGGTTTCGATGTCTCAAGTGCCAACACTTGGGAGACCTCGCTGATCTGCGGGCTATGACTTGCACTACCAACTACATGGCCACGGACACCGTTGAAGGTGACAATGGAGGTCCAAAGGCTAGCCACTCAAAACCAAGTGATGAGGATACAGCCAAAGTGCTTCAAGATGAGGAAATGGCACTTGCCCTCATGCAAGAAGAGTTGGAAATGTGCCAAGCAATGGAGCTCTTGCAACAACTCGAGCTCCAGGAGATCGAGTTGCAAGAGCAACGTCAGCAGGCGGCCGCCCTTGAATCGTCGGATGAGGGCTGCAAGGTGGTCAGAGCCACAGATCAAGAGGCTTTGAAAGACATGGACACTTTGCTGGAAGAAGGTTTCAGCAAAGAAATATCGATTTGGGCAGTCAAGGTGTCCAAAGATTTGTTCGAAGCTCGCTGTCGGGCTACAAACCGAGATCAAGCCGAGAAGGCTGTGCGTGTCAGAGAGGAAAGCATCAAAGATGTGACCAATGTGAAGCCCAATGATCATGGAGGTTCCATGCCTCCACCTCCGGTGCCGACAAAGCATGTGAAGCCGGCCCAGGTGCCATCAGTTTGCAGCAATCCAGACGTGACTGACACTTTGCCTATGGATCTTGACGTGATTGAGGCCTCAGCCATTGCAGCAGCGCATGAGGCTGAAGTTTCAGAAGCAGAAGCCAAAAGGATTTCTGCTGAAGAGGTGGCAAAGCTCTTTGATCCCAAGCCAAGCTTCCTCTATGCCAAAACTTTGTCTTTGGGATCAATTTGGGCTGATGATGAGGAGAAGCCTTGTGACCAGCCTGGACCTGAACTTCCAGCTCCAGAGAAACCAAAGGACGCAACTTCTTTGCCAAACACTTGTGAAAAGCCAGATGGCGAAGAGCCCTCTGACATCAAGCCGAAGATCGAGCGCCCAAGTGATGTATTGGAGAGCATCACTCCAGTGACACCTAAAGACCAGCGAGAAGCCAAGGCCAGCAAAGGAAGGGGCAAGGGTCGAGGGCGAGGCCGAGGCCGAGGACGGGGAAGAAGTGGCAAGAAGGACGAAGAAGAACAAGAGAAAGATGATGAGGAGGAACAGGAGGAGGAGAAGGAAACGGAGGAGGATTCAAAGCCAAAGCGTCGCCGCTCAAAGCCTGCCAAGTCTGAAGAGACTCCCAAGGAGGCGGATGAGGAACACGAGGAGGAGAAGGAAACGGAGGAGGATTCAAAGCCAAGGCGTCGCCGCTCAAAGCCTGCCAAGTCTGAAAAGACTCCCAAGGAGGCGGATGTGAAGCCAAAACGAGCCAGCCGTGGCACAAAAAAAAAGCCACTGGAGGATGAAGGTGAGAAGGACACGGAGGAGCATCCAAAGCCAAAACGGCAACGCTCAAAGCCTCCCAAGTCTGAAGAGACCCCCGAGGAGGTTGATGTGAAGCCAGCCCAAGCCAAGCCCAAAAAAGACAACAAGGATGAGGAAGGGCCAAATGAGGCCAAAGAGACAGGAGCCAAGTCAACTCAAGCCTGTCGTGGCAAAGCCTTGAAGGAAGCAAAGACCATGACTGGGGATGTTGAAGAGCCACAGTCAAAACGGCGCCGCTCAAAAGAATCCAAGGAGACTACTGAAGAGACCAAATCCAAGTCAAAGGCAAAAAGCGGTGCTTTGACTGATCCACCAGGAGCGTCTTCAGCACCCTCTCGCACGGGAAGGAAGTGGAAAAACAAAGCTGTGGAGTCCGATGCTGCCAGCGCAGCAAAGACACCAAAGCCAAAGGATGAACATTGTGACGGTGATGACCCTAAGAAAAAGGCATCTCGAAAGAGTTCAGCCTACCACGTTGCCAAACGGGCAGCCCTGGGTGATGGCAAAAGCCTTGAAGAAGCCAAGAGATTGGCCAAGGAGGTTACTTGGATTATATCACATTTCACGCATGCAAGCTCAAACCATCCCGCAACATGTCGCTCGATATCGTTCGATCTAAGGCATATGCAAATTGTCAGTGACCTGCCACTGCTTCGATCTCTATGGTGTGATTGGGGAGCCGTGATGAACATGGCTATCAACATACATGAATGGTATGTTGCAATTCGGGGACCTCATAACAGCGACACGCTGTTGAGAGAACTTTGGAGACTACTTATAGGATTTGCAGTGGGTATGATCCCATGCAGCAGTGGAGACATGCGGAAATAACGCGCTCGCATCCGACCTTTGAGCTTTTGTCAGCTTTCATTGGCAGATTCTTGTAATACCAACTCCATGAGATTTCATGAGCCTCAACTAGTTTGGAGCCTGTTCCATCCCTTTCCATCCCGTCATGACTTGTGACCAACCTGCCCGACAACCTGCCCGACAACCGTTGCAGGCTGATGCCTGCTTCCGCTTGGAGAAGGAAGGCGGCTGCTGTGGATGGTCAACCTCGGCTCGATTTGGGCATGTTACATGCTGTAGTTGTCCCAGTGAATGCTCGCAAGATGGCTAGCTGTTTTTGCACATGCGCAGCCCTTTGCCAATCAAAGCGGTGAACCCATACGTGTACGCCACCATGCCCTGGGATGCCGTCACCGTTTTGCAGCATACTCAAGCTCCCAAGGTTTGGGGGTGAAAGTTGAACATGTTCATTCCCTACTGAAAGCACATGTATTGCTTTGGAGGCCTTTATTGCTCTGGTTCTGATCTTAACTTCCAAAGCCTTTTGTATATATCTGGATCTAGAATGCTTCTGCCCTTTGTGTGATGAGGTTCTCTTAGCTGGTTGGCTCGATTTGCCACCTCATAACATTCCAGATGGTCTGGATTTTTTCGAGCTGTTTTCCGGAAAGGCGGCGGTATCAAGTGTGATGTCCTGTTCTGAGCAAATCAGTGGCATGCATGTTTGCCTACCCCGGCCTACCCCACTTTTTTCCTTCTAATCTAAGGGCCTCTTCCGGCTACAGAACTGCATCCTATGATTGGGACTATGAAAAGTCCGGTATGAATTTTCTTGGAAGTGCTGGGTTTTTGCGGCTTAGTTCAATTGTGAGTGCCTCTTCGCCCCGCCCACCTTCCTCCGATCCAGCTGTGTGTTCCCGGCCTCAGGCTCGCTTTGATCATCTTGAATCGAATGCAATCTCGAGGCCTGTTCTTGGCGGGCCCCGATTGCAGCAGTTGGGGGGTTCCAGCGAGGGGGACGTCTTGGCGGTCCACGGTGAACGTCCATGGAAATCTGTTCTTGGCATGGGTCAGAGGATCGTCCTGCATGATATCTCGGATACTTCCATGAGTCTAGATCACAATTTTAACTGTTTGATTTGTTTTGTCATTTGTTGATTTCGAGTGTTTGGTTTTGGGAAGGGTTCAACTAAGGCTCACCCTATGTTTGTTGTTGGCTATGGGCCGGAACTTGGTCTGGGTTGTCGAGCAACCACAGGGATCGCTGTTACAACACCAGAAGCGATTCGACTGGATGATCAACACTGTGGCCTATGTTCTGCCCTCAAGTCATATGCATGATATGCGACAGAATGGATCATGCATGCACCTCGATTGTTTGGAATACGTCTCAGGTGCACCGTTGTGACTTCTGGATGCTTCTCTATGGGGCCCCAACTAGCAAGCGGACCTGGTGCTACAGCAACATGAGAGAAGTTCATTTCTTGGATGCTGGCAAATTAACACGTGCAGTTCGAGAAGAGAAAACAAAAAAAAAACTGACTCGATCCCTAGTTGCAATACACCAAAATGGGTTCTGGTTGAAAGCCCTCTTCAGCCTGCATCCTCAGCTAAGGGCGTTACATGAATGGAAAGGGCGAGGTCAAATTCCAAGGAACCGGAGACCTGCGATCTTCCCAGTATCTTAGACTTTAGTTCCAATGATTCCAATATATTCCAATATGATTTTCAACTGGGCCATGTTCATCCCCTCGACTCCACGCCCGAGGCAATATCCACCTGGCTTTGGAGAGCGTCTTCGACTTGCATTTGAAGAACACCTGGTGAGCGCTGATCACCGGGATTTGCGGTTCAAACCACAGCTTTCTGGCGGTTCCCCCGTTGAGCAGTTCCAAAAGCTTGACATGGGTGATGTTTGGGAAGATGCCAACTTGCTTCAACCACTCCTCTACGCAATGTCCTCTAAATATCTAAGGAGCAGGGGAAAGGGTTGTGGGCACTTGCGCAAGTTGTACGTATGTCATATGTCCAGCTTGGTTTCGTGATAGGATCCCACTGGAGTGGCAATCAACTATGGAGAAATTCGTAGAGGACTACAAAGCTGAGGTGCTTTCATATGCTTTCATTTCTGGACTGCTAAGTGAATATGGCGGCCTTTCATTTCTCAAAGCACCATTGTCTGGACAGGTTCTGGGAGATTTAGATCTTCGAGCACAGTATTCAGAGCTGTTGACCCAAGAGAATTGGGACTAGCATTTTGATGGCTTTTGACCGGTTTAATTCGTGATTGGTTACTGAACCAATCGTGATTCGAGTGCAGAACAATGCCTGTTTGTGAAATTAGCTGGAAACATACACGCTATACCTTCTGGATGCTTTTGGGGTGGAAAAAGTAAGGCGCAAAACGAGCGCAAAAAATAGCATATAGGCGCAAATAACAACAATTAGGCGCAAATCGAAAAAGTGCCTCTACTGGATATTTTTGTGAAGACTTTGTTGCAAGCTTTCAGGGCCCCAATGCTTTCTTTGGTGCATCAAACATGATTTGCAATGCTAGTGTGTTTTGGCTGATCAGCTGTGACATGACTTCACGCCTGGACTCTTCTGAAACGCTGCTGAAGGGAATGACCGCTGCTAAGATTGACCAGGGGGATTGCTCCATGGACTCCACAGAGCGCAAACGAGCTTTGCAGGAGAAGATCAAGGTGACTTGGAAAGTGGGGGGGTTATAACATGCGATGTTGTGCTAGATAGCGTTTTGGAGTTTCACCTTCGGGTTTGGAGGCAAGCCAAGATCGCATCAATGCACTTCGTCGGAAAATGAGCAACCAGCCTTCTACTGCTAAGCCAGAAGAGAGTGTTCCGGGAAGCTTGTCTACATGAATTGCACGGGACCATTTTCTAGTACATGTAACAGTCGCCCAACAGTTTCGGATATCGATTTATTCCGCCAAGGAGCTCCAAGCTTTGCTCAGCACAGCGGGTCGTACTGTGCTGGGCTTGTACATGTGCCGGAAACGCAGGTACAAGAGTCACAGCCAATGGCACCAGAGACACACGTACAAGAGTCACAGCCAATGGCACCGCCTGGACCAGAGACACAGGTACGAGAGTCACAGCCAATGGCACCGCCCGGCCCAATGGCACCGCCCAGTCCGGATACACAGGTGGAAGACACACAGGTGCAAGAGTCACAGCTAATGGCACCACCACCCTGTCTCATGCGCTCTGATACGAAGGAGTATATGGTACCAGAGTCTCACGCAGAGGCACCACCAAGTGTCAAGAATCGGTACCCTAGCAGAGAGTGGCCTGATCGATGCCCGTCTAGCTACAGCGTGACAGATCCTGTGCCTCCTTTGGCAAGTTCAAGCGCAGAAGCGGTGCCTGTCCCTGTGCAACCTCTTGACCCTGCTGCTTCACTTCACGGGTCAGCTGCGGTGACAGGTCTCCCTGAGACAACTTTTCGAGAGCCAGCCTTGATCAAGACACCTGAAGCAGCAATCCCGGCCCCGTCTACTCTAAGCATTGCTGATTCAGAATATGAGTCAGCCTCGCAGGTAGGGCAACGCCCCCCCGCCAATCCTTACTGGAAGTTTTTTGGCAGCACTCCACAACATGCAAATTTTTTGCAAAGTTTTTCAACCGGGCGGGGAACAGATCATATGCACACACTTATGTTTCCAAGGCTCCGGAGATACTTCAAACCAAAAATGGGTGGATTGAAGTGCTCGCCAGAAGCATTGAAAATGTGGAATGACCCTACCCAACGTAACATAGCTGCATTAGCAGTGCTCCATATTGAATGGCACAAGGGATGGGGCCTCCGTTGTGTTCACATTGCTCTTTGTCAGGAAAGGAGCTGCAAAAGCTCTTCTTAGAGCACGGGACCTTTGAGGCGATGGAAGTTGCTTTGAAGAAGCGGAACATCCGGGAAAACTCGGAAAGTTCGACTGGGGGATGGTATACGAAGAACAAATTAGAGGTGTCTGAGTGCTACACTAAGAATCTCAGCTAACACTGTACTTTTCTGCACCTGCAAATCCAACTTTTTTTGTATGATCTATACCGATTAGCCGAGGAATATGATCGCGAAGGCATGGGCCTGGGCAAAGGCTCAAGGACAGTGGCGGGTTAACCCCGTGCATGGAGAGGAGGAGATCAAGATCGTTGCAGCGGAAACGTTCAACATGAGCAATCGCCAGATTGAGGAAATGGAGCAGAGTGGGACTGTATCCGTTGAGGAGGGTTGTTGTTGAAACATACGGTATCAGCACTGGTATCAGCTAAAGAACAACCAAGGAAGATCTAATCGTTCTTTTTTCAGGACCCTGATGGATCACTCTTCATCTCCGATCTTCCCAGCTTTGGTGCCGTGCCTGGCACTGCGTCAGGGTCGGGCGGCAGTCCCGAAGCCTCAGGGAACGGCTCAGCGTCGACTCAGCTTGGGAACATGTCCAATGTGATGAGCTTCAAGTTACTTGTCTTGAAGCTTCACAACTCTTCCCCTCTAAGCTTTGGATGTTTTTTTGGGGGATCAACATGGATCAACATGCAATGTAGCAATATAATGCTTGTTTCAGCATGACCTCAGGTTAAGTTTCCCAACCATCACGAGCTCCACAAGCCCTCTCCAAATCCTTCCAAACTTCGTCGAAGTTTTGGGCCGCAAGATCGATAAAATCATGGTTGAGAAGGACCCGCGATCAATGGATTAAGAACCTTTGGAACTTTGGATGGTCGTTCAGCTCCAAGTGGTCCAGCCACTCTCCGTCAGGACCGGATGAGCAGCGTCAAGAGCGATGCATCCAAGCAGTGCCCTAGCTGTACTGGAAAGTATTCCTCTTCATTTGAGTTCAACCACTTACAAATCGATCCAGTCTCTCATGATAAAACTTTGAGACACACGAAGATTCGATCACGACCAAGGTTGAGCCAATCTTTGGGGACCTACATGGACAAGATGCAGAGCCTCTATGAATCTCTGACCGGATTTCTTTCTGACGCCACTGTATCCCCTGAGGTGTTTGATAAGCTTCTTTCACGCAGCCAGCTTTCTTCTTAATGACTCTGACTGATCTAGGCATGTCTGCATTGTGTTGAGGTCAAAGAGAGATTCTTTGACTTCGAAGTTTGTGGAGTGTACCAAGTTGGACGTTGCTATGAATGCACTGTTGGTCCGGTCCAAGCACCCAGCCCTAAACAGAGTTGTGAAACTGAAAGATAGCTAACTAGCTAATATGCGAGCTTCAAATCGAGGAAGAAGCAACAGGTAAAGTTTTTTTGAGCGTTCAGTGGCACTGTCATGGACCAAGCTCACTGATTGTCACAAGTTGTGAGCCCGTTCGTTGTGCAACTAAGGGGAATCAAATCCGCACCTTCCGTTGTCTCACCAAACGCAAAGTCTGGTGCAGCTAAGTCCAAGGCTAAGGCCAAGGCGGCTCCCAAGCGTGCGTCGACCAAGGCAAAGTCGGATGGTAGGTCACCTAAGGCAAGGGTGGCGAAGCCAGCCAAACCCGATTCGTAGATAATCTTCTTTGTGCCGCGGGATTGTGTTCTGAGCTATGGGTGCGATGCGCTTACAATGCATTGCATGTTTTGATGATGTTGTTTTGGGGATGGATCGTACTTTGGCTCGTTCAACGCTTTAGCCCGCTTTTCAGCCATCTCTCTTGAAGACAGAGATGAAATTGATCTGCATTTTGTGTGAGACAAAGCCTACGGGGTTCCAAAAAGAAACGACAATGCCAGCCGCGTGTGTTCAACGAACGTATACGTACATGCATGTAGCAGAGCGCACTGCCTCCATGCCAGGTCATCGAGAGGACTTCACCCGCAAAGGCAAGTCTCCGTATCCATCTGCGGGATTGTTCTGTGATTGGTTTGACGGTTTGACTTTGAATTGAAGGCTGTTGGGATAGCTCAGAGTGCGGTTCGGGTTCTTCTGATGATGACCTTCCTAGATCTATGGTTTGCAACTTTGCAAAAGGAGTCTCTTGACAACCGTGATGTCCATGTCCATTTGTGCTTCGCTCAAAGGTCCTCCCCTCCTGAAACCCTGTCATCCAAGGCTACAGCAAAGGATGTGGTAGGCCAGGCAAAAAAGACGGAGAAGCTTCTGGCCAAGCATGGAACCTCAGCATCACGAAGTGCTTCTATGCATGGTTTGCAAACGTTGGGTCTCTCAAACATCTATCGTCTATCGACGTCTATCATCTAAGGAATTTATGACCCAAAGATCTCTGACATAGCTGTCTTGGCCAAATTTGACAAGAAAAAAAAGAATTGCAGTTCAAATCTCCATCGTTATGTTGAGAAGAAAGGTATCAACCTTCCCATTCCGATCCAGTACGTGGATACACCACTAAGAGCACGAACTTTTAGAAGGCGAAGCAAGCTTGTTTGGGAGCGGTGGCCAACTCTGATGCCTAGAGATTGGATGCGCGTATGCCTGGAACACCGGACATACCGTGGTATGCACATCCTTGGGGGATATAGGTTAGAAGAGCTGGACGGCATCCAGAACATGCTGAAGGAATTTTGGGCACGATATCGATTTCATGAACCTGATGTACGTCCCAGGTTTCCACATGTGACCCTACCGCTATTTATACATGGAGACGAAGGCAGAGGACAAGTGAAGAGACCATTGATGATCATCAGTGTTCAATTTGTGCTAGGGCTGAAAAAAGAAGAATCCAACAACAAAGGGTGCCTAGATTCATATCAATAGATTATGTTTTTTCTGTTTTTTGTTTGTGCAGGGTTTTTGATCTGTCTGGTTGGTTTCCAATCCTGATCCAAAGGGTCAACTGGGTTCTGAGGCATACATTCACGACAAGAATGCTCTACACCTCACTCCCGAGTGAAAGGTATGCTCCACAAGGCCGCAGCATTCAGGTTTTGATGCGCGCGGTTGCCCAAGATTTGAACGCAGCTGCTGAGGAAGGGGTCGAGGTGAGGGGTCAAAACAACAGTGTTACCAATGGTTACCCCTCCCCAAAGATAGGGTTTAATTCTTCCACCCTGAGAGGTCCAGTTTGAGGGCCGGACAATCCGCTTTTATGCACAATACTTGGCATCCAAAGGGGATTGGCCATTTTTGAGAAGCTGCTTCAAACTTCGGACGGGTTTTGCATCCTCCAGAATCTGTCACCTTTGCATGTCACACGACTCCTGTCAACAAGTTTGATCAACTTGCATGTGCTGTTTGTTTTGGGTGAACTCTCCATGCACTCTAGCTTTAGAGAATTGAATCGTGACTTGTGAATCTCAGGACTGGCACAACCTGTCTTCTTCTGGGTCGACCAGGCGATGGACTCAAAACACTCTCGCTGAGGACCCGTTCCATGCAGGAGCAGCCGCTAGTGTTCGTGCCATCAAACCTCATGGCCACAGCGTTCGCGCTATGAAGATTGACATCGCGCACACATACGCCATATCTGGATACGGGAAAGATGAGCTAGCAAGCCACCTAGTTTTCCTCGCAGTAAGATGTGAGCTTTTTGGTGGAGGCCCTTACGAACATCAATTGGAGAATGCCTACGCATCGTTCAACCAATGGTGTCAGCAGAACCATAAAACCAGTACAATCAAGGAGTTCTCGAAGACAGAGCTCAAGATTACTTCGTTTCTAGTCCTGGTTGAGTAGAACTGTTCTTTAAGGGTGTTGGTGTCTCCACACGACTGCTAGAATCCGCATCTCAGGTTGCAGGATTTCCCACGTGGACTTGGCAAGGGTAGTGATGCATCCCTCATAGCTAGATGGCTGGAAGACATTCTGGAGCCTGTCACGCCTGACATGGTTCCTGACACCTGCCTTGAATATAGACGGCATGCCCCTGTTTCATGAGTCATATGGAACCCATGTTATGAACAAAACCTGCTCCGCGGCCCAGGACAATTGTCGGCCTCTCTTCAAGGTTGTGAAGTGGGGCGTTTCAGCATCCAATCGGTTTTTTCGTGCCTGCTATGGAAAGCTTTGGCTACCACGGTCAGAAGCCATGAAAACCATCCAAGATGGGTGGGACATGACTGACCCTTGCAAAGCAATTTTGTGTAGTAGTTTGTTCCTTGAGGTTCCGAGTTCTAGAAAGGCTTCGCTAGAACATAGACTTTGGAATTCATGCAGGAAGCTTTTGGAGCAGCCGCATCCTTGAGTAAGCAGCAGGGCTGGAGGCTGTACTATGTTCGCCCCAAAGTTCACATGATGCAGCATTGTGTGCTCCAAAGCTGCATCTGAATCTGCCATGATTCTGGTGTGTTCCAGTGATGCTGTTGCATCTTAGACCTCTTAGGCTTGAGCTCCAGTGCCCCTTACAAGATCCTGAGTGCCAATACGTTTTCAGTTTGGGTGCGTCCTCATGCTGGTCCGACGAGGACTATATAGGTCGGATTGCACGAGCGAATCGCAAAACCCATAGTTTAGCCTGTGAAGCTACGATCAAAAAGACTTTGATTGAATATGCCCTTCAGTGGCAACGAGCTTCAAAGAGTTGGAACCGGGCTGAGCCACCGGGCCAGTGATGGTTGATGATGGTTGTCTGCAGCTCAGGAGACAAAGTGTGTGTGCACTTTTGTGGTATTTGTGCGGCACCAGGGGTATACCAGGATCTAATAGGATCTATATAAATTTGAACGAGGCGCAATTTTGCAACTCGAGCGCTTTGTTGCAAACGAGGCAAGAATATTTCGAGGCACATATTTGTGGTTGTCGCAGGGTCTAGGATATTATTTGCTATGAAATCAAATGGTTTCAGCACTGTTGATGAGCTACCCTATGATCAGCCACCCTAGTGGCATGAATGAAAAACGAAGCTTGTTCCACCCAAGACGCCACCAAGGCAATGCCCAGAGCGCCCAGCACCACCACGTGGATCACTTCCTGAGGTCGCAAACGGAGAAGAAGAAAGGGCCAAAGAACTATACCCAGACCATCCATGGGACTGGCATTTTTACCTACCTTGGGGTGGTTGAAACGGGTCAATGTATGCAAAATATGCCAGTCACTGCCAGTCTCATGGATGGTGTGGGATAGTGTGATCCCCGAATAGATAGTGGCACGGCTTCCAATATATATTTTGTTTTAATTGGGATCTACTTTTCATGACTTTTCCATCTATTTGGGGGCCACTGTACAAGGTCTCCACCTGGAGTCGACCTGGGCCCGTACCTCAGTTCAAATGGGGCCCCGGGCGCCCGTAGCTGTTTTTGGGTGCAGGTCACGTCCCTTTCTACTTAGAAGCCGGTCCAGGTACGTTCGAGTCTCCACGTTCTTCAGTGTGTCTGCAGTTTCCACCTCTCGGCACCAGTCTGAGACTGGTGCGCCAGTTTCTCAGTCTCGTCAGTCACCAATCTCCACGTCCCCTTTTTGAAATGTCTTTGATCTGAACCACAACGCCTTCTTCAAACTCCAGGCGGTCCTGGAAGTCCTGTTCTCCAGGACCGAGTTTTCTTTTTGAAACGTCGCAAGCAACGGGGAACCACCGAACAACGTTGGCCGCAATCAGATACACCACACAGTTCCTGCGCAGCATCCTGCGCAGCAGAAACCCAACAAAGCTCTCTTCCTGTTGCCTCCCCACTCCTCTTCATCTTTCCACGTCTCTAGAAACCGAACGTCTCACTGCCCGCCATCCAAGAACGGTCTCACTGCTGTCATCGTGCACCAAGGGGCGAGGCCCGCGAACAACGGTCGTCGCAAGGTCGGCACCACCATGGCGGACGCCAGGACCCACACCTCGGGCGTGTCGGACGGGCCGTTCGGCGGCGACCGGTCAGGGGTGAGACCGGAGTCTGCGCGGTGAGACAGCGGGGAGAACGCAGATGTCGACATGGAGCTGGTAGGGAAACTCGGCGCGTGAAACAAGGTCAGGTGTGACGTCGCGAGTCGAGAAGTGGGGGTCATCTACATTCAAGACATCTAATTACAGCTATGCTAGGAATTCGAACTGCCAATTCTTGGATTTTGCCTGGCACTTCATGTGCGGACGCAGGTTGAGCCTCCGGACTGCCCGCACCAAGCAGGCCGCGGCCCACACACGCTGCTTTGTCACGCGCAACAAAGGCATAAACCTCGAAAACACGGTTCTGGGGTGATCGGGGAAAATCGAGTCAGCAAAGCTACCAAAAAAAATGAAACACGCACGCTGCGTCAATGATTGCATGCGTCAAGTATAGTACAGACCGACTTTGCCACAAGAATTGCTCGTCCAAAGGTGCTTTTGTTCTCTTCTCACCTTTTCACGGACACCGCCTTCGAGGTATTTCGAGGTGACCCACCCTGGTCCTCTTTCAGGAGCTTTGACTTGAGGACTTGGTTGTCATGTACCGGTGTAGCCTCCCAACAAACATGGAAGTGAGTCCTTCTAGGAGGGCAACCAAGGTCTCCTCTTTTGACCCACAGCCACATGGAAGTGGACACCCCACCTGTTTGCCGAAGTAGATCAGCTTCCAAGGGACCAGAACCCCCTCTTCCAAGATTTTTGGAGGTAGGACCTTAAAATTGAGTGTTTTCAAAAGGTCTGCGATGGTTGTACCTGGAATAAGCCTATGCGTAACACGGCCATAGCAACTTTATTTCATAACTTGGTTTGGCAACTTTCAACTTATTTTGATAACTTTCAACTTCTTTCAACATGTTTTTAAAGTTGCAAGTTTCTTTTACAACTTCTTCTAGAAGTTACAATGCTCAAACAAGGAAAGACGTTTACACAAAATGTTAGTGTTCGGTCAGTGTTCGGGCGACAAACGGTTGTTATTTATAAATACAAAGAGACACTTGTAGCTTATATCGGACATGCATGTTGACAAGTTCTTTAGAACATTGTAAACTTTTTGTAAAATTGTTTAGATTTCTTGTTTAGTGTTCGGAAAGTTATTCCTTTAATTCTGAAGATTTAAAATGTGTATAAAACAATATTGTTGCTGCGGAAAGAACATTGTCTATGCGGAAAGAACATTGTTGATGCAGTTTGTGTGCATGCCTTTGAAGACCTTCTTGAAAACGCCAAACCTTAACAACAATACAAAAACATGTAATGAAAAACACAACCGCCCTCCCCCAGAAGAAGAACAGTACAGCAACATATTACTGTATGTGATGAAAGAGATATTCTCTTCGGGCGGCTACCCCCGGATTTGGGGTCTTCTTGGTGTCTTTGTACCGAGAAGCTCCGTGGGCGGCGAGGCCACCAAGAGGATGCTCACGGCAAACTGGGCACAAGCACCACGCGGGGCGAAGACCCATATTATATATAAGATGATTAGTACATACAAACCCTAAAACCCTAAAACAAACCCATATGATTATACAAAACCATTGTGATTATTTACTTAAGACCCATATTGTATACAAACCCTAAACAACATCTGAGAATCTGAGAGCGAAGTTGGATGGAAACCGGGGCGAATACAGACTGAGTCACTTTTGGTCAAGCATTTTGCCAACATGATCGAACGTGTTTCTACGTGTTTCTTGCTGTCCCGGGGCGAAAAAAAACGTCCGGTCGGTAGGGGTCCTTCTGAACATGACAGTTTAAGGGGCTTCTTAAGGTACAGGCGTCGATCACCAATTCCCCGGCCATGGCGCATTTCCCTTCGCACACCGGCCATGCAGTTTGTGGTACTGTCCAATTAAGGCTTGCTGGGTCATCATCTGCATGTTATGGGGATCACCCCGATATTCCCTATGTCCGGGCTGTCTTATAAACGCAGCCACAGAGAGGAACGAATCATCACTCGAGGCAAATCCTCATCTCGCCTTGTGACAGAACGCCTTCAGTCCATGCTTCGGCAAGGCTGGCCGCAGTGTGGGCATGGGGGGTGGTGCTACCAGTGCCGGGAGCAAACCCGTGACCAGCCACAAGGAGAAAAGCCACATCCAGAATGCCTTGGTGATTGCAGGGAGTAGACGGTCTAAAGCCTGGCTTTGTCCTTATGAGCAGGGGGGCCAAAGTCCAACATGGACCCACTTCTGCTACACCAACAATAAATACTAGCTGCTATGTTGATGGACGGCATCAATTGATTTGCTTTTGGCCAGGCAAAGGGTGTCAAAAAAAAACCGGGTTGGGATTGTCAAGCCTGATTCATGAGCCCCTCTACATGTCCTCAATGCCAGCCAAGCAATGTTTGTCAGTACTGATTGAAACACCGGCCATCTATGGCAACACAGTTATTTAGCTGACATGATCTCTTTCAAAGCTAGTCCACCATGAAGGCATTTAGTCCAACAAGAAGGATGCAAAACAGCAAAACAAAAGTGACACAGGATCAACAACTATTAATAAAAGCCGCTGGACATAAAGAAGGACTTCAAAGAGACATCAACAGGAATCCAAGCCAGTGGAACATGAATTTCACCAAGAATCACTAGAAATCAAACTCTCCGCGTTTGAGTTCAAACCCATTTCTGGACCTTCCAGACATGAATCGACTGGGGAGGTGGACCCCTACTAGGGCGAGTTCTGGGCTGAAGAGTTCGATGTTTTTCGAGTGATCCTGTTAGTCCGTTGCTCCAAACGATCTGATCTACCTGCTTCCACAGCCCATGCGGAGTGATCCTGGACCCCTCGACCCCCCGCAGAGTCGATGTTCTTCTCCACACGCGAAACGTGGTCGCCGTGGTTGAGGGATGCAAAAGAAAACGCCCAAACGCTTTCCCAAAAATGCTGGTGTCGAAAAACACTAAACTTAAACCATACTCACGAGTTGGGAGTGCCCAAAACCTGGTCTGCTGAACAGCTACTGGGTAAGACCTTATAAGATCTTGATTTGAAAAGCAACATCATGGATGAACATGGTCGGACGTTCTATAGAAGTTCTTTATAGAAGAACTAACTAAAGAATGGATGAAACTACGCCGTCCACTTCTCAACCTCGTCCACCTCTGTCCAGGACGCTTCGCGGTCACTGTGAGCACCCACCGCGCCCACCACGGTCACCTGGGCATTCGGTGTCTTCGGTCGCGGTGGGCGGGTGAACGGAGCAGAAGTCCCTGAAGTGGTCGGACCAGTATATTCCAAGGTGCTTTGGAGGTCCAGGTGTTAAGTCCATTCCAAGGTGCTTTGGAGGTTCAGGTTTTAAGTCCATTCCAAGGTGCTTTGGAGGTTCAGGTTTTAACAACCAACTGGAATCCTTGATGAATCTATGGGGTTTTTCACCAGAAAGGGGGCGTGGGACCAGACTCCTGGTTTCTCGAAGACGGCCATGATAAAAAAAGGGTGGACGGTGTAAGACTGACTCCTGAGCCAGTTCGATCCCTGCTCACCAATAGGTTCACCTTTTCCCACGCATCATGGGACTGGCATGACCGATTGATCGGCCAGGGGTGGGTGGAGGCGTGGTCCATTGATCGGCATGTATGACAGACATGGGTCGTGTCTGGGTCCGATTCAACCTGTTCTTGTTTAGTGGGGTGTCCCCACTCCCGAAAAAGGAGTAGAAGCTTTTCCACTGACTAGGGTATGTAGCTACTGGCTAGACCAAAGGCTGAGACGTTCGTGCCACAGTGCCACAAAAAGGTCTTGAGACGGTCATCCACTGGGAATCGATGGGGTTTTGAGACGTTCGTGCTCACCTCTCCCCCAGAGTGAACCGGTTTCAACCAAGGGCCTGCTTCTTTCGCTGACCTACAGAGGTGGATAGTGACCTGAACGTTCGGACCCGGTTTCAACCAGGGGTACCGAGCTAGGATAGTCTATATATAGGTGTCTATAGGATAGACGTGTCTATATACCAGGGGTACCTATATGATATATACCTATATGATAGAGGTGTCTATAGGGTTCTGACCCACCTCTGCTGGTACTTCTCTTCTGCGTCACCGATCCAACCCCATCCGACCGGCCGGTCGTGCCCGAAGCCCGCGAGGCCTCTCTGCAGACCAGACGCCACCGTCAAGGTGTCAATGGCATGAATGAGATATGACACAAGACCTTGGATGAGAAGAGGAGTTCCATACATGCCATGATGTGTGAGAGAGAGAGAGAGCTTGTTAACTGTTAGTTAGTGCTTGCATCCTTCGGCAGCATTCAATCAAAAACACTCGGCTTACATCGGCTTACTGCTACCAATCCTTTCTATCTCTCCCTCTCTCTCGCGCTCTCTCTCTCTCTCTCTCTCGCCACTTGTGATTCGTCCATGAGAGGGTGACCTGGTCTGCGTTGTTGCTCTTGGTGCCACTGAACAACTGGAGCTTTTGGGGTCAGCCTATCCATTCCTTCTGCGCAGCCCAAAGATCATAAGGCTCAATGCGCGCTTGTTCTCTCAGCAGCTGCCAGGAGTCCCTCGCGATCACGCCAAGGTCCACTAGTGCCCATGCTCGTCCGTTCTACTCACTTCGCCTGTAAAAATCCTGAACTCTGATCGGTTGCCTCTACACCCACCCTGCAAAGTTCCCACAAGACCAGCCGCTATAGGACATGGAACATTGAAACAACAAATAAATATGTTATCATCATGTCAACCGCCCCTTGTTTTAAGCTGCCCCACCCCCCCCCGGCCCCTCGTTTTTTCGTTTACCATTCTTGCTTCCCCATGCCATGCTGTCCAGAGCACGGCTGATCCACCCATCGATCTGCGAGGCTAAAGCTTCCTCAATGCCCAGGGCCTCGTGAGACGGCTGCTCTACAGCATCCACGCCTGGGTGGGAGCATCGGTCTCAGCAGCTCCATGTCGGGGTGCCGAACGAATGACCGGGGTGCTCCACGGCCGCTGGGACGAGCCACACCACCCAACTCCATGTGACGTCCAGGAGTTGATGTTTCTTCGTTGATTTGGTGCTTTGTTCGTTTCAAATCAAGGGTCTGAGGTCTGAGTCTGTCTGAGAAAGTTGGGTTTGGATGTGAAGTACAAAACAACTGAAGTCGATCGCTGAATGTAACATGTTGACTCATGTTGCATGTTGTTCGTGGGATTTCTTTCCAGTTCGTGTCATATATCCTGAGATCCTTACATGCATAGGAGGCCACAGCAATGGAGAGGCCGGAAAGGAAGGCCTTAGCTGGTCGCTCGCCCTGCACTGCCCTGCTCATCAAAGTGACGCAGCTTCGGGCTGAAATCCTGCCTTGGAGTCCCATAGTCCACATCCAGGCACCATCTGTCCAATGTCTTGGGAGGATCTTTTCCATCTTGCTGGACCCAACCAATGTGTGCTTTTGGTGTTATGTGTAAACACACCGTGCTCTCTTTTTCGCACACAAACCCTAAGGTGGTGTGTACGCATCCCCATATTGATATATATATATACTAATTTAACATATATGTAGATAGAGAGATAACTTATATATTATGTACTTGTGATGCCACGGTCTGTGGATGTGTATGGTATATATGGGTTGCTGTGCCATGTGAACTGAACTCACTGGGAACGTCCAGTTGCTTTTAATATTTGCTTTCCAGAGTTGCTACAAACCACAGGAAGTGACACGTGGATGCAACCCTTTGAATCAACCTCTTCAGTATATAATTGTGAGAACATCGTAATGATCCGTCCCCACAGTTGAACCAACATCGATGAGAACAAACCCACTTTGTCGAGGAATATGGCCCCTAGCTGACCCTACGAGCCCATTGCAGGCAATCGTGTGGCTCTTGAACAAGAAGTGATTAAAAACATATAAAACCGGCGCTTGGGCAATATTCCTGGACACCTCTGAACCCGAAACCCTCCTGAAAATGGTGGGCAATCCCCCAGCCTTGTTTGGTAGAACGATGTGGAACGTGTTCGGTAAGTAGTCTAACCATCTTGTCTGTAGAAGGCATTGTCAAAAGTAAAACAATTACATACAATTACACACCAGGATCCTCCAATGGGTGTCCAATAGACTACCCCCTACCCTACTTTATAGGTCTCCAGACAGGGCACCCATTGGAAGTGCTAGGCAGTATATCAAGCAATTAAAAACGAGAAGTGGTGAAACACCTGGTCTGGGTGGTACAGAGTCGCGTTTGTGCCCGAGCTGAGGAGCATAGAAGAGCGTGACGAAGCGGAAGAAGCCATTCTCCTTCCAACCGGACCTTGTTGCGTCGTGTTTTTGTGGCGAACAGACTGCACGCTGCGTGTGTAGCTCACAAGGTAGACCGACCCCCAACAATTCCAACCCCCAACAGATCGGTGAAAATGGACCAGTCTACCCAGATCTACCCCAGGGGCTGTGGGTGTCGGGTGTCGGCCTATTCCAAAACAGATCCACCAAGCGAATGGCGGCAGGTCCACCAGGTCCAAGGTGACGTCGGTGGGGTCCCAAACGGCCCCCGAAAGGGTGGGACGAAGCCGCCCCCGCGCCTTGGCCCACAGAGTCCCATGGATGGAATATATATGCCCCCTACATTGACCCCCTATATATGCACTCCAATTCTATGCAAAAGGATGTGGCCGTAGTGTTTGGGAGTGGTTGGGAGGACTGGGCTTAGCATTGACACCTCTTCAGACCGTCGCACTGAACGAGCTCGACCGTCTGACTCATCGAGCTCGAGCTCGACCGTCTCGACGATTCCGATGAAGGAACCCATCGACCCAAAGAGGAACCTCCGCATGTCGAGGTGGGTCCATCCAGGATCGCACGGATGGAGGATCGCATCTGCCCCCTCCCCAAACCAAAAACCTGATATAGAGCCTGGTGGTTGGAGCCCGGAGCCCTGAGTTGGGCGTGTGAGTTTTTTCCTGTGCAAAACCGCTCCAAAACCTGGGAGGTTGACCAGTTGCTGGTATTATGGGGGGCCCACTAATGGTATAGAGGTAGGCCCCTCTAGGAATCATAAAAACAATATTATGATAGGGTTGCACATGTATGCTGCATGCTTGTATTTATTCCTAGGGGTGTCCACGGGGTTGAATAATTTATAAACCAAAATTATTCCAAAAAAATTATATATTCTAAAGCAGGGGTAACACCCCCCCGTACGTGACAACTGATCTTTGCACATACCATAGGAATAATTTCCAGCTTTCTTTGATTCTGCAGCCACAAAAAATCACACAAGCAAATCGCACGGACTGAGGGGCGTCCACTTTCACTGCACACAATTATTCTGAGAGGCTTGATGACCTCAAGGACGCCTTGAAATATTACAAAATTATTCCTACCCCACTCCCTACCTCAGGCTCAAGAATTAATATTCTGAGGGACCATACACATGCTCTCCCAGACCCCCCCGTCAATCTAGTCATGGAAAATTATTCTAGGTCAATATGATTCCAACAAATTATTCCAGAAGGTCAGGGGACCCTCAGAATAAGACCTTTTTTTGAGTGGCCCATGGAGAATTCACTCAGGTTCCTCCAGTTATAACCTGCAGACTTTTCAATTCAGTTCCGATCCCCAGATTCGTTCTGATGTCGACGGGTGCAGCTTGCTTAAGGAATGAGGGAAATGGATCTCAAGACACAGCATCACAGTAATGTAGACTCTTGATGAATGACCCCCCGTGTTGACTTGAAAAACCTGTTCAGTCCTCTTCATATGGGGGAAGTTATTAATCAAGAGATATCAAGAGTCTACATTACCGGAGGCTCATTCATTCCCTTCATCCTTCTTCCCCCTCTGCCGCTGCTTTCCCATCCAATCCCCATCTGGGACGTCCCACATGAGGACGTCTCGACCCTCAGCGCTGGCCATGGAAATGACCCCCATCTGCGGAACCTGCGGAGAATTCCCCGAATGACGGAGACGACTGGGAAACCACTAAAATAGCTTCAAACCAAGGGAGTTGTAACAGGACATAGTTTAATTGTACTATATTTCAATATCAATTGATACTCTATATCATTGTACAAGTTCTCTTTTTCCAGAAGCTGCAACTTGCGCCGCAACTGAAAGTTTCTTTCAGTGATCATCTTTGGTGCTGTGAGATGGATTGAATGATTGAATCATGCGCTCACAGTTTGACCGAGGATTACAGTTGATAAAATCCGTTCGGGTAGGGGGCACGTCTTCAATCTTTGCTAGGCATTCGCAGTACAGGCAAACACATATTATACATCTCATAGAGGTGTGGTGACAACCCTACGATGAAGGATGATGTCAACAGGGGATGCAAGCTTCCAAAAGATTTTGAGCACTGCTGCCCAAATGATTGCTTTGCTTTATGGTAATCCGAAGTAGAGCCAACAAAAATACACAAAGCACAACCCTCCGCACTTGACCCGACCCAAGATAGCAAGGAAAAGAAAAAGAGCCAGACAAAGAGAGAGAGAGAGAGAGAGAGAGAGGGATGAGGGATGAGGGATGAGAGTGATGCCTAATGCCTAATGCCCTACCCCAACAGGTTAAATTCCCAGAAACTTGGCAGTCTCAGCTTTTGCCGATGATAAAATCGGACTGGTTCCGAGTTGGAACAGTGAACACGCGTGGCTAAGAAGAGCATCCAACATACTATATAGGGCTCCCCGAATAGATAGAATTGGTGTCCAACACATTTTTTCGAAGGCTTTACTATCAAATGTAAGGCCAGGCCAGTGTAGTCATATTTTACTACTTGTTACAGTGTGCAGGCAAGCGCTCAAGGAATGATCGCACCGGCTTGGCTGAAAACCCATGCCATCTCAACCAAGACAGGCAGCACCAAAGATTAGACTCAATGTCAAGCAATCCAGACTAGTACAGGAGTACGGCAAAGGATGTTTCAGAGATTCCGTCCATGAATCAGCGTCATACAATTTGATGCTGAAATGCAACATCTGCTGGCAAAACATCGTTTGACCGTTGCCTTCGCCAAAATGCTCGAGAAAAGCTCCATTTCGGGAGAAGCTGCCGAGCCATGATACTCCTTAGCTGGTAAGCACTATCACAGCTTGAGAAGCAGCTGGGATGGCCCGTCTCGATGGGGGCGGGTTCGTGAAATCGAGTCGACTGAGTCGAACCGAACAAACAACGAGGATTCCCTTTGGCTTCTCTTGCCATCTCTTTGACCAGTAACTGATTCCGGCTTCCTGCCCCCTAGAGCGGCTCGTGGCACGAGGTCCGAGCCCTTTCGCTGGCGCGACGAGGTCCGAGCCCGCGTCGAAGGTGTGCGGATTGCCGCCAGACCATCCAGGGGAAGTTGCTACACAGACCATGTTGCTACACTGCTCTTTTGTATCTGCGCGTGCTCAGCTGGATCGTTCGCCAAGCAGACATGAAGACCCCTATCCAAAAGATATGAGAGCCGACTCGATGTCTCCATGGTAAGGTTCGTTCGGTCTTTCTTTCCATGCACCTGTTGACCTCAGGCCATGTTTGATGGGTACTTCGAGCGAACTAAGTTCGAGCTTCAAGTTCTATTCGCTTTAAGGTCATGCTTTGAGGACCTTCCCTTCTCTACAGGTCGCTGTCCACACACTGTTTCGTTCTACTTTGCGAGGTGAGGATCATCCACAGCCAGCCTTTCTCATGCGTCCGGTGCAAACGGGGTGCTTCACCGAAGGCGTTCGGAAGGAAGGAGTACAGCGGCGCCCCGACGTCACATACGGCTGGAAGGGACGAAGAAAACCGAGCTCTGTGACTCCTTGCCTGATTTGCCTTTATGGTTTTAAAGGTCACAGTATACGCCATAGCCCAGACACACTCCATGTATATAGCATATATTATGCTTTACATTGTTTTACATTTGGGTGGTCTTTAAAAGGGATGGGTCTGGCTTTGGAGCTGGCAATACCACACATATCACGTATACAGCATACCACACAAACACAGCATCACTTACACCAACGAACCATCACGAAGCATCACGTTCTCGGATCGCTTCTCCGGTACCGGTACCGCCATCTGCTCGTCTGAGGATGCCAAGACACCTGCAAATGATGAAGGCCAATCATTGCCATCATCACACGTCGACGCCCCTGGCAGGTGGACCGTCTCCCTGGGACCGTCGACCGGTGTTCAGCTCGTGAAGGCGAAGGATGGCAGGAAATCCAAATCATCCTCCAAAGATCTGCTGAAGACTGTGGAGTGGGTCACCTGATTTAAAAAAGACAGTGTCATGAGCTCTGACAAAAAGGACGGTTAATGTACTAAACATTAATAAACCTCCCCTTTTGAATGCACTCAATCGAACTCACGACACCTCGTGGACGACCCATCTCGACCACCCCTGCAGTTGGACTGGGTGTGGACCATTCAAAACACCATCATCCCCACACCAAACACCCCTACTCAAAGCTAGTTGGACTTGAACCCTAACCCCAAGCCCGAAGCCGTTGCTTAAATGGCCCAAAGAGTTGACACTCCACGTTTTCAACCCGCTTCACAGACCGTACCCCGACTTCAATCCTTTGATTTCAACCACCCTGAATGTAAATGTTAAAAAAAAGAAAAGCAGACCATCCATGCCTGGAATCGTCATATACCTACATGGCCAGGTCATGACTCATGGGGCAAATGGGTCAATCCGATGTGAGGTCCACCAGTCCTTGGGGTGGTCCACCGCGATCCCAGCTGCGACCCCCAACATCGGCGCATTCCGTGGGCGCACGACCGAGCGCAGGTGAGACAGTCGATCGAGTCAGGGCCATGCGAAGACCCAAACATAGCACGATGTGCACCGTTGGAGGCCATTACTAGGAGGCCATCGCTACTAGTAGACTAGTAGCAGAAGTGGTCAATGTATGCAAATGTCCATGTTCTTCCATCCGTGGAGTGTCTGCGATAGGTTCCTTCGCAAGCAAAATCAAGAATTGCAAGGTGTGTTGGTCATGGTAAGTCCCTCTCTCCCACCCCTAAAAGGAAAATCACGGAATTGGATACCTGATGATACCTGGAGTCTCCAGGTCAAACCTCAAAAACCAAAAAATGGGTCCAAAGTCATGTCCCACTTCTTCGGGTACAACGTCCCATGATTCACGTCCCGAGATTCTCCGGGTCACATCGTAACTGACTCACCGATCCACTGGTGCCCACCGCGCCTCCTTCCAGCCCATCTGGACGAGGTCGTAGACCGCGAAGGGCCAGCCGGGCAAAACGCTGATGACGACGAAGGACCAGCCGAGCATTGGAAGGCCAATGTGAACAATCCATAGACCCCAGCCCAAAAGCCCCAGCAGCCTTGGAAGGGGCCGAACGTCCACGACTTCCCCAAACTTGGGGGGCTTCAAGTACCTATGGTACCTGAGTTGAAGGTGAAGGTAAAGTCGCAGCCTTGGAAAAAGGCTGCCAGGCCCAAAAAGGGTGTGCCTTCATATCGTACCTTGCCTGAAGTTGAAGGTGAAGGTGGGGTGGGACTGGGGTGGGTGTAGGGTCTAAAGGGTCCAGTCGAACTTGAGGAGGTACGACTAGAGCCCGGATGAGCCATGCAAATAGATCCACATGATCATCCGCTGAAGCGGCGCCCGAGACAATATTACAAGCACGTTAGAGCCAAATATAAAGCTAACAGTGTTGTTTATTTGTGTTTCTTTTTCAGAACAACATAGATGGCACATTTGATCAACTTTGCACTTACACCACCACGAAAGCATCAGTTCAATGTTAATCAATTAATATATATTCAATTTATTTAGCCCGTGACTCGTTACAAACAAAGCACAAGGTGCTTGAACAAAGTGCTAGCTTAGCAGCTTGTCGGATGGATTGAGGTGAGAGAATAGATCGGGACAACATGGTGAGGCTGAAAGTAGGTTAACCTCCAAAGTAGCAAAGCATGTTTTCCAGGAGTCATAAAGGGGTGCTGTTTTTGTCCCATCCAGTGAGTGAATGTGACATGCCCCTATGCTTCCTCCAATAGGATCCAAGAGGCACCCCGTCTCGTGACTCCTGGTTGTTGTCTTTTCAAAAAAGAACCCGACTGTTCGACTATCCCAGTTCGGTACCCCAGGTTGAAACCGGGTCCGAACGTTCAGGTCACTGGCTACCTTTCGTTGGAACCATGGACCCGCCCCACATCAAAACAACTGGAGGAGACGAACTGATCGATCCACCGACGAGGTCCCGACCGAGGTCCCCCGACGGAGGTCCCGCGCGGACATGGCGGTCGCACCAGGAGATCAGCTAAGTGGTGGATCGGTCGGGCTCCAGGTTTTGACCCATTCCCATATGGGTGTGTCTTAAGCAAACCATAGCAAACACCCTATTTCAAGACATACCCATGATGACTGTGAGAGTGGAGCTGTTCAGGATCTGAAGGAGGGTGGAGCTTTTGAGAAAAGGGCTCCGTCACAAACCCTTGGGCCGGTGGCTGTCGCGGGCCTGATGGGGCCACTTTGGTGCCGGAAAGACCGTTTCTGAGGGTGACTTTAAAGGCTTGGCATTGGAGTGTACCAGGACACCCGGACCAGGGGTTTCTATTGATAGCCCCGAAAACATGTGATTCGGGGTGTCCATGAACCACCCTGACTGTGGGTCCTGGTAAATGTTTCACGTTTGAAGCCAAGTCATGATGGGCGGGCATATGAAGGAAGGATTCACAGTACGCCCCACAGCCATGCTGCTTGTACATCCCAGTCCCACACCTTCTGCCCAGTCCCTACACCTTGGGCCACACAGGTCGCAGTTGTTTCAAAGAACACGGATGAACCGTGCGACCAGGTTGAAGGACGGGCCCCCCTTTTGGTCGGATGACCCTGAAATCCGCAAGCAGGTGGTGCCCCGACCTGCGCACGACTGGGAACAGGACGCGAGCCCCGGCAGCCCAGCCACTCCAGAATGTGGATGCGTTCCCCCAGGAATGCCAGCACTGGCTGCAGTTGTGCGAAGAGGATCTGAGCAATGGAGCTGCCGGCCAAGAAGCAGATGACCACCTTAGACCAACTGCTGCAGTGAATGAGGGAAGGAATCAATATATATATATATAAGACCCTCAAATAGATAGAAAAGTAGATCCCCACTGATCATGTATTGGAAGACACGCCACTATCTATTTAGGGACTCTTTCATACCATAAAGTAGTTCACAATAATCCAGACATCCCGTATCATTCCTCACTAAGCACCAGTCAAAGACTACGGGACGTCTTCCTCTCCATGAGGCAAACCTGACGCCTGCTTCCACCATATAGTATGAACTTTATGAGTTTAGGGGTCCTCACTCACCCCAAAAATATCGATCAATATCAAAAAATGATGGGCGTGTTTCAAGGGTTCATGGTGAATAGACTTGGGGTCATTTCTAGGGTGTTGCTGCTGTTGTTGTTCTTCTTCTTCTTCTTCTTCGTCTTCTTCTTCTTCCTTTCAACACCCAACATCACAAAGACCTTCGGCACAAGAACAAGCACTGTCACTACTCCAATAGATGCTTAAAAAAAAGCGGTTCCCATGGCTCACTCACACTCACTATGTGGAATTCTTCCCCCCACCCTTTAGGTGCTTTCTTTCCTCTGCCCGTCT